TCCGTCGTGATACCTGGGGGAAAAAAAAATAACACCGCCGTTACCTCCGCTTCATCCTAAAGCCCGCTTATTTTAAAAATGAGGTAAAATAAGGCAAGGGGGGGGCCGAGGGTTTGGCGGCGCAAGGATAAATCTAGAATAATTGACATCGACCGAGGGGTTTAGGAGGCGTTTCTAATTAACCCACGGAACTCCAACGAATCTTTCCACACGCTTTATTAAAGACAGACATCGCCGAGACGCCGTAAATAAAACCGCCTTAATAGCTCACGCAACAATCCAGGGGCAGTTACTTGCCCAAAACCGCCAGGCTCGTTACGTTCCGATTTCTCCCGGTTTTTCGGTGCCCGCTCCCCGTACCTTCTAACCTGAACTCGGAAAGAGGCTCCGCGGGGTGCGGTAGGGAGGCAGGGACGTCGTAGCCAGCCCGTTTAACAACCCCAGGCGCTGGGTGAAGTTTTAATACCGGGATTTAACCCGCTTGAAATGCAAAAAAAAAAAAAAAAGTGGTTTGTTTTTTTTTTTTTTTTTTTCTCCCCAAATTATCGAGGACTTTGAGGAGGGAAAAAAAAGTACTCGGGAGAGCAGCACGTGCGCGGTTAAAAGATCGTCGGTGTGGAGCAGGGGTTTGGGAAACTTAGGAGGAGGTGTTTTTTCTGGGGACGAGGCCGTTGGCCAGGTCCCAGCGCACCTCCCAGCGCAGGGCGGCTCTCTTTTTTTCGGTCGGCACGGCGTAAGCGTTGGGGACGTAGAGGTGCTGCGGCTTGCTGGGGAGCTCGGGCTTGCAGAGCATCTGCTCCCGGATGCCCCAACGCAGTTCCTGCCGCTGATCCTCCCCCGGGATTCGGAATTTCTCCCATTCTCGTTTATATTCAAAATATTTGGCCACTCGGTCGGTTTTCCCCCGGTTACGTCCCAGCGGCTCAAACCGCGGGGGAATGAAGGACTTGGGTTGTCCCGCCGCAGCGGCATACTGAGAAGCGGGAGAGCTCCGGCTCCCGAAATCCCCCAGGAAAAAGGGGGGACTGTCCCCAGGGGGCCACCGGTAAGGGGATTCATCGAGGGAGCTGCTGCTCGTCTCGATTTCCCCCTCGGAGATGCTGTCTTCCGGACCGGTCCCTAGCTGAAGCATTTTCTGCCTCAGGCTCCAAACCTCGGAGTCGCTCTCCGGTTCGCTGGTCACCGACTCGTCGGAGACCTCTACTCCTCCGTCGGGTCTGCGCCTCAGCACCTTCCTTTTCATTACCAACCTCCTGGGTCCCCTCCGATCCTCGGAAAGAGTAGGAAGGGCCGGCTGCGCCTCCAAAACGAGGGAGGCCTCGGCGTAGGGATCGTCACGGGGACGCGTCCGCTCCTCGCTGCCTCCTTGCTGGGCGTACAGCCGGCTCAGGGCCGGCGCGGCCGCCAGCTGCTCCTCACCGTCCGGCGCGGCCCATCTATACCTGCCCGGTCCCGTCGCCTCCTCCATGATTTCTGCCGAGCTGGGCGGATCCTGCAAAAATAAACGGATGTTATTTTTTCGTGTCTCGTTGGAGCGGGCTAAAGGCATAAAGGGGGCTCTGACTCTCGACCTCTCGGGTTCACAGGTGTCGATTTCGGTTGCGGTTAATCAGACCCGGGGGTCTGGGAGCACCGGCTGCGCCGCTAAACCTCCTGCCGCCAGCGGAAGGGTCTTTCCCTACAGCGAATGGAAACGCAGCGCAGCTACAAAGCCCCGAAGCCCCCTCTGATGCAACCCCTGAATTCCTGCTTGAAAACTACGCTAAAAGTAATTACATTATAGATAAAGTACTTAACGGGGCGATGGACAAACGCAGGGTGGATTCAGTTCGCTTTGTAAGAACAGGGCAGAGGCATTAATGATTTTCCCCTTGTACCTGTTCTTTTAAAACCACGGTATCTAGTCGTGACTTAATCTAGGGACATCCGAGAGGGTACTTTGCTTCCGCAGAGGAGGAAGAGGCGCAGCGCGGTGTGTTTAAGATGCCCGTTTAGATGTCGGCTGTCATAGCCCAAAGGCTGTTTGGGTCTGGTTGTAGTAAACCCCCGAGACCCGCAGCGAAAAGGGATCCGGACGCGGTTTCCACTCGCTACACAGGTTTGGGATATCTTTACGCCGCGAAGCGGGTTGGAAAAATGCAAGTTTTAACCGTGCCGTTACGAAATGTTGGAGCAGATGGTGCGGCGAGATGAATGGCAGCCGTTAGCGGGCTGTCTGAAGCGCGGATGCTGGCTGAGCGCGGTGCGAAAACGGAAAGGGCGCCGCGCGGATAGCGAAAGGCTAGCCGGGAACGTGCTGCCGCCGATCCTCGGCT